TTCCTGCTTTCTCACAGAGTGATTCAGCACTCAGAGTCTTTTCCTTGTAAAGACTTCACTGAACAGCATGTGGGTATCCAGTTCCAAAACTGATCAGGAAGCTGTTGACTCAATGGGATTCTGTCTGTTTGTAGACATGCCTACTGGTACATACTAGCCTCCTGAGAGTACCTCATGCGGGATCTCGTCCAAGGGCAACCCCTGCCTTCCCAGCATACAGCCTCTGCGGCGTTTTATTTAATACTGCTCATTGGTAGAGGAGCACTCCAGTCTAGTGTTTCACCTGAGTGCCCCAGATTCCTTGTACTGTCAGGGCACGTCTAAACTATGTTTTCTTTTGAAAGAGGATATGCAAATTCTGCACGAATTTGCATCTTTTCTTCTGATCTCACTTTCGAAAGAGGATCTTTCAGGGGGAAAAAAACCCTTTTTCAAAAAAAACGTGTAAACCTCCTTTTTTTTTTTTTTTTTTTTTTAAAGGAAGGGCGTTTTTTTCGAAAGGGGTTTTTTTCCTGAAAAAAAATGCATCCAGATTACTTTAGTGAGATTGGAAGATATGCAAATTCCCACAGAATTTGCATGTCCTCTTTCGAAAATTCTGCGTAGTCTAGACATAGGCTTAGAGATTTAAAGGGCCTGGGAATTGGCGACTGAACATGTCATTCAAATTGCAGCCTGGTGGGGAGATGCCACAGCAGTGAAATGGGACCAAGTTTTATTTTGTAAATTATGACAGTCTCCTCTTCGATGGCCCACTCTTCCCTATTCTTCCTCCTCCATTACCTTCCTCCCCTAAATGCCAGCCTGGAAATATTTTTAAAAATGCTTTGAATCCTTGGGCTGTAGCCTGTCTGTCCTCTCATCTTTCCATTTTCCAGCTTGGCACTTAACAGGGGCTTGGAAATTGAGGGGCAGATCCAGCCAGATCTAGAGAAGTGATTATTCCCCTTTATTTGGCTCTGGTGAGGCCACTCCTGGAGTATTGTGTCCAGTTCTGGGCCCCCCACTACAAAAAGGATGTGGACGCATTGGAGAGGGTCCAGCGGAGGGCGACCAAAATGATTAGGGGGCTGGAGCGTGTCACCTATGAGGAAAGACTGAGGGATTTGGGTTTGTTAAGTCTGCAGAAGAGAAGAGTGAGGGGGGATTTGATAGCAGCTTTCAATTTCCTGAAGGGAGGTCCCAAAGAGATGGAGAGAGGCTGTTCACAGTAATGATGGATGGCAGAACAAGGAGCAATGGTCTCAAGTTACAGTGGGAAGGTCTAGGTTGGACATTAGGAAAAACTATTTTACTAGAAGGGTGGTGAAGCACTGGGATGGGTTCCCTAGGGAGGGGGTGGAATCTCCGTCTCTTGAGGTTTTTAAGTCTCTGCTTGACAAAGCCCTGGCTTGGATGATTTAATTGGGGTTGGTCCCGTTTTGGGCAGGGGGTTGGACTCGATGACTCCTGAGGTCTCTGCCAGCTCTGTGATTCTATGATACCATACTAGAGCAAGAAGTAGCATGTTCTCCACCAGCCTCCTCCTACTCGGTGCTGGTCACAAGGTACAGCGTGACCCTTGGAAACAGCCCTCCCTCTGCAACACTAGTTAATTATAGAAGTTGGAGGGCTGACTTTGTATGCTCTTACTGTCTGAATCACAGGTTTGTTTGTCCTTGACATGGTCTCCTTCTCCAGCCGCTGATGAAATGTCCTTTTTGACTGTTTTGTTGGAGACTGATACTGTAGTATCAGGTGATCGAATACTCATGGTGCAACCAGGAGCAATAAAAACATTACAGGCAACTGCATTTGTATTCTCCTAGTGGAACATGATTTTCTTTAATTCTGCTTACGTTATCCCTCTCTCATAACATCAGATAACCCCCACCCATCAAACACAAGGCGAAATTGTCTTATCTAGAAGTAAATGTCCGGAGTGGGGAGTTTGACAAATCTGATCACACATGGTACTGTCTGGTGTGATGGGGCCAAGTGGAATTCCACAGGAGGTAAAGGAGCTGGCAGGCCATAACAAATGGGAAGAAATTGCTTTTTAATGAAGACCTAATTCCTTCAAAGGCTAATGCTTTCCTGCCATCACCATATGCGGCATTAAAAAGGCATTAAGTTGCTAAAGTCTGCTATTCCCACCTTGGCAAGCACTGGCTGCAGCACACCTGCACACTCTTAAACTGCAGTGGCATGGCCAGTAAGTAGGCATTTATAAATGTGAATTTCTAGCAGAAACTAAACCATGGCAGTTGGCTTGGTTTTTTTGCTCCAGTTGCTCAAAGCCTTGATATGTGGAACCATTTGGTGTCAACAGTTCTTCTGCATTGCTTTGTGTTTCCTTTCTCGTGATGTATTTGTAAGAGACTGTGTATGCTGCAGGCTCTGTTTTGCCCATCTGTCCTACGCGTTGCTGTGTCTTGCTTGTCCAGGCTTTTATTTCTAGATCTTTTCAGTCAGCTTGTGAAGAAACCCTTTTAAGAGCCTTTTCCCGCAGCAGCACTCAGATGATGTGCCTCTGGAAAACAAGGGTGAGTATTCGCTCACCATGCCACCCCATCAGTGTAATTCTGTCTTTTGTTTTTATAACAGCAAAAAAAGCCGAAGATGGTGATGGAGTATTGGACTGGATGGTTTGATAGCTGGGGCGGCCCTCATAATATCTTTGATGCAGATGGTGAGCACCATATGTTACCATCACACACACAAGATTTATTGCTTTATAAGCTGCTGGTGGAAATAATGGCGCAGTAATGCTGTCTCCATCAGGGTTCCTATCCAGCGAAGACCCCTCGCTCTGTTTAAGTGCCTGTAGATTTATAATCTCTATAGTGGATACCAACATTGCTGTGTGTTTTGGCTTTTGTATCCCTGTCAATGTGATTTGATTTTTTTTTTTGGTGGCATTTTTCAAAGACGTTTGTTTTCACTGCTCTAGGAGTCAGCCTGTCAACAAGCTAGTGCAAAGAGTAGGTCCATAGATTCCAAGGCCATAAGAAATCACAGTGATCAATTAGTGTGGCGTCTTGTATAATACAGTCCTGAGAATTGCCCCAAAATATTTCCTAGAGCAGATTTTATAGAAAAACAATTACTCTGGACTTAAAACATTAATGTTAGCAGTCAATCTTGATATCATGTTAATTTCCAAAAGGCCTCAGCTGGGTCATGCCTGCTTGCTGTGCTAGGCGCTGTACAAACACAGAAAAGAGACCATCTCTGCCCTAAAGACCTTACCAGTCTGAAGAGAGAGAGTGAGTAGGGGATGTGAATATGACATACGAGCTAATGAATAAGGTGAAGAACTGATAGTTATGTGGATTGTAGAAGAATTAGGAAGGAGTTCTGGGCTTTATTTTCACCTCCTCCATCCTTTCCTGTCTCTATGCCTTTTCAGGGGTGCAGGCTGTCACAGAAAAATTATTGTTCACTGATGTCGGGAGGGGGGGGGGAGAGGAAGGAAGGATTCTCCATTGACTTGAATGTACATTGAAGCAGGCCCAATGCACTGTGAGATTCCAAGTTGAAAGATGTTTTGAAAGAACCTCAGTATTGTAGGTTGGCAAAAATAATTGATACTGGACTGGTGAAAATGACCACTCTGAGACCATCTTGGCTAAATTTTCAGTTTTGCATGGTACTTAATACCACAACCTGCTCTAAAATGAACGGGAGTCAAATGGCTTTGTTTTAATGATCTACATACTTATGTGGCTCCTATCACCACAGAATCTGAGTGTCTCCCTACCATTAATGAATATATCCTTCTAACACCCATGTGGCTAAGGAAATCATATTAGCTTCATTTTATAGATGGGGAACTGAGGCACAGAGCGGTGAAGTGACTTAGCCTAGGTCACAGAACAGGCCCATAAGCAGGGGAGAGCAAAGGGTGCTAATGCACCTCCCCTGGTCCCCCAAGTAAGTGAGAGGAGGCTCTACGGCCACCGTCTGGGCGCGGCTCAAGCTCAGCCCCCCCACTTCCCCACAGTGGGGAGCCCATGCTGGCACTGCAGCCTCACCCTCGCCCCCTAACTCCACAAGGTTGGAGCGCAAATGCAGGCTTCCTGGTGGGGTGTGGGAGGAGACAAAGCCCTGAGCCTTGCTGTGTGATCCAGCTCACGGGGGAAGAAGCACTCTCCCTCCCCGGCTGGGGGAACAGCAGCATGTGGACGCGCTGCCTGGAGGTTTTCCCTACTGCTCCCATTGGCCAGAATCTGGCCAATAGGAGCAGCAGGAGGTGGTGCCTGGGAGCAGCATGGGACCTAAAGACAAGTGCCCCCACCTCCTCATGCTCAGACCCCAGTCCCCTTGGACCTCTCCCACATGCTGAGACTCCACACCCCGAACCTGCTTCTGCACCCTCTCCCCTGGCCAGATACTCTACACCTACCCTTTCTCCTGCACTTTCCCTTCTAGCCATGTGCTGCATCTTCCCTTGCTCTTGCCCCCATCCCCAGGCCAGACACCCTGCTCCCAGCCTGGTCCTGCACCCTACCTCCCATCCAGACCTTACACCCTCACCCCTTCCTGCACTCCACCTCTCACCCAGATTGTGCACCCTCATTCCTCTCGCTGGCAGCCCTGTCCCACACACTGAACCCCCTTTTTTGTCCCAAACCCAGAGCCTTGGGGGGTCCACAAAATTCACCAACTCTGGAGCCCCAGAAGTGAAACCTGGCCTAAGGAAAGCCCTGAACCTCAATCCACCCAATCCCTCTCCCACCCCCATTGGAGCTGGAGTGCCAGAGGAGCCAAGTGTCTCAGTTGGGGGCCACATCAGTGAGGGTTGGGGGGGTTTGGAGGTTTTGTTCGTTTGGGTTTTTTTTGCTTCTCACTTGGGTGGTCCCTAACTGATTTTTCTATGGGTCAGTGGGGCCCCAGACCCAAAAAAGTTTCCCCACCCCTCCTCTAAATAAAACATGGGAACCTTTTGTATTGGACATAAATTAATTATTTACTTTATTTAAAATGAAGTTTGATAAACTACCATGAGAGAGTTTAAGTGCTGTTTAATAATTTAAATTAACATTTCCTTTCTTACTGGTTAAATGAAACCATTCTCCCTAGCTGTAGCTCTAGCATAATGGCTTGACTGTCGTTATGTAATTAACGGTGAGTTTCCATTAGCAACTGGTGGACCACAGAAAGGTTTGCTTTGAGCCAGGTGGGCCATGGGCCAAAAAATGTGAGGACCACTCTGTTAGGGGGATGGGAGAGTGCTGTGTTATGGGGGGTTGTGTGTGCAGCGCTGGTGGCAGCATAGCAGGGCCGGGGGAATGATGCCCCCACCCGTGAGGAACGGCCCAGGCTCTGCCCCGGAGGCTGGAAGCCCCACGCTGGCCTCGCCAAACAGGTAGAGCAGCAGGCAGAGGAGGCTGAGGGAGCGAGGGGCCATGGCAGCCGTGCTGCCCGCCATGATCCCAGAAGGTAATTTCTATAAAACCTTTAGTACTGTATAAATATGTTAGAAGAAAATGATTTTACCAATCAGTTTCCATCACATTTTTCATTAACCTTTCCTATGCACACCCATTGCATGACTGTTTGGAGCTCCTCTACATTTTAAAACATTGCGGTCCACATTTACAAAAAAAGCGCCCCCTACCTCCACACACATTCCTGCAGGCAGGCCTGCAGAAGGAGGCGGGAGCAGATTCAGGAATAGGACCCAGATCTCCTGGCAACTAACCCAGTGCCTTGCTGCCTATCTTATGCCAATTTTAAGTGACTTTATTCTGTATACGTATGCTATAGAAGTAGTAAAAATGACACAAGGATTGTGTGGTAGTTCTGTCATTACATTACATGCATAGCAAATTGGTTTTCATGCCAACATTGGTTTCCTTTTTGTGGGTAATTCAGTCAACATAAACCTCATGCAAACCTACTGCTTCCCAAAAGGTTGTGTCCCATTTCAGTTCATACATTAAGAAGCAAGGTAATGAATGTATCTTAAAAAATAATGGAAACTTAAATAATTTGGTCATGACAGATTGCATTTAAAAAAAAATGTCTCCTCCCTGTGCAGCTGTGTCATCAATATGGTAGATCAAGTCCTTGCCTAGGCAGAATTCCCACTAAGGTCAATGAGTTGGAAATGCAGCCTCTCTTGAACAGTGTGTGTGCGAATTATTCCTGCAGAACATTTCAAATGGCAAGGCTGCCCTATGTTTAGGCAGTTGTAAGTAACTGGAGTTACCCCAGGCATAAATGGAGCTCATCAAAGCATTGGGAGAGGGGGGTGATTGTAAACAAAATGCTCAATTTGAAATTCTTGGACTGTTGGCGTGTTTAGTCCATACTCTGTTACACTAGCTTCTCGATTTGTGTTGCCTGAAATCCTTGTTGGGCATCTTCTTTCCTTTACAGATGTGGTGAATTCAGTGGAAGAAGTCCTCAAAATGGGAGCATCCATCAATCTCTATATGTTCCATGGGGGCACCAACTTTGGCTTCATGAATGGTGCTTTGGATTTTGATGAGTACAAGCCAGATGTCACAAGTTATGGTGAGTTTTCATTCACTGCCTTGCATGCCAATTGCAAGCCAGCAGCCAAGGGCATGATCTTTGGGCCAGCTGCAGCTGATGAAAAGCTCTATGTGCATCACTTTCTTGAAAGAGCTAGGTCGGGGCGGGCAAGATGTGGCCCTCCAAGCCTTTCAGTCCAGCCTGCAGCCACCTCACAAAAACACTGTCTGGTAAGGAGCCGCTCCAAGGCTCCATCTGCCTCTCTGCGTGGGAGGTGAAAGAGGGAAGAGTCACGCACTGCCCCTACCCCCAGCTCAATCTTTCAGCTGCCATTGGCTACTTCCCATTGGTGCTGGATGCAGGGGCAGCCATCTCTAGTCAATGGGAGCTGAAAAATTGTGCTGGGGGTAGGGGCAGCCAATGGGAAGTGGCCAGTAGGAGCGGAGAGATTGTGCTAGGCATGGAAACAGTGCTTGAAACCTCCCTCCTCCCCCAGCTTGTGCAGTACAGAGAGGCACACGAGGCAGCCAGCTGCTCTGATCTCTGGGACTGCGGCAGACAGGGAGGGGCCCTGCCTCTGAGAGTACCACTGGGCTGCTGGCTAGGAGCCACCTATATAAGTGCCTCCCAACCAGAGCCTGCATCTGGAGCACCATCCCCTCCCGCATGCCAACTCCCTGCCCCAGGTCACCTCCCAAACCCCCTGCACTATCATCCCCCAGGTCACAACTCCCTCCCAGATCCTGCATCCCCTTCTGTACCCCTTCCCCAGGCCAGAATCCTCTCTTACACCCATACCCATGTCTCCTCCTGGACCCCAGACCCCATTCCCCTGCCCCAGATCATAACCCCCTCCTTCATCCAAACTCCCTCTCAGGCACCACTCCCCCTGCTGCACCCCAGTCCCCTACCCCAAGCTCCCTTCTGGATCCAATCTCTGTCCCAGACCCCATACCCCATCCATAGAAAAATGCAACCCTTCACCACTTGCCAAAATCTTGGAGTGTCCCCCCTCAAACATTATTACCCACCCCTGGTCTAGGTGCTGCCTCTGAGCACATAGCATGAACATAATACCATCATCTAAACAGAAGAGAAGAAAGCCCCTGATCTCTGCTCATCTGGGAAGATGGTGTGCCTGTGACAGAGGGTTTCTTTTAACACTGCATATTTCCAGTTTTATTCTAGTGTTTGGGGAAACCCTTCGCTAATAATTGAGTCAGAAACCACTGCGGTAAAGACACATAGTTAACATCAAGTGGCACTGTTTGCTTCATAGTGTCTCCCTTCTCTTTCAATCAATGACTAAGGGAAGACCAGAGACTTTTGTTACCAACGTAGGCGGTGGTTTGGCTTTGACTGCTAAAAATCTAAATAGCGTCTTACAGCAATTTTCATCCCAAAGGTCTTGCACCAGAACTTTTGACTTTATTCTACATGCAGTTAAGGAGAGATGCAGAATGGGACCCTCGGAATGTGCAGCCAACAACAGGGAGGAGAGCCAGCAGGCAACACAGTTACGGCAGTGAGGGGAAAGAGGACACTCTTGCTAAGGCATCTCTGTGCTCTTAGGAAAGGTGTTTGGGACAATGCAAAGCAGTGAGGGGGCCTCATCCCTTTACTGCCTGGTACTATCCTCAAACTATTTGTGTTAGATACAGGAAGGACTGAATGGAGCTTGCTGCTATTTGAATCTGTAATTGGAAGTGCAGAGTTATGTGTCCATATTTCTTCTCCTTAGCTTTGGCTTACAATAACAGTTAGGAATGTATTTTATTTGTCAGTTATATGCGGTAGGGAAAACCTATAATGGCAGAATAGGTGGTACTGGGATGTGGGAGTGGAGGGGTACTGGTTAAGGACTCTATTGTGTCCTCAGATTTCATGCATTGTTGCCCTTGACTTCAGTAGAGCATGGTAGAAGTGAATGTGTGGGTCAGAATTTGACCGTACCACCAGCAGGTATGGGGTCAAGCTCTTTCTCTTCACTTTTATTTTACGCCCACCTTCAGAACTCCTCTACATTAAGTAGCTGTCTCTCCACACAATGGGACAGTGTCTCAGGCCCCGTCTGCATTAAGGAACTCTGTGCTGGTGGTAGTTAATCAGAGTAGCTATACCGATACAAATTGCCTTCGTGTCAGCAAGGCCTAAGATAGGAATATTACCCTGTTGGCTCTGACCTCTTGCTGCACTTTTACAGATGAAAATGTGTCTTGAGTATTTTCCTGAAGCTGCTGATGCTCTGTAACAGGCACCTGTTTGTTTTCCAGATTACGATGCTGTGCTGACGGAAGCTGGCGACTATACATCCAAATTCTTCAAACTCCGTCAACTCTTCAGCAAGATTATAGGTGATGACAAACCTTCGAGCTGCTTCTCTACCCCTTAAATGCTGGCATGTGCTATACCAGAGAAGCTTTCAAATTGGCCACCAAGGGTCTCCGCTGGATCCCTGCCGCTCCCCTCATGGATCTGTCCCAGTGATTAGCTGGAATTACTTTCTGAAGCGTGGGAGGCCTAGGGATGTAAAGCAGCTTGTTACAGAAATGGCTTTTCAGCTGACTTCCCAGCAGCAGGAAAGATGCATGCCTTTAACAGTCTCTGCATGCAGGGGAAATGTGTCATGACAGCGAACTTAAAATAAATGCAAATTTGGGGAGGTGCTTTTGTTGTACAGATCCTGTTTGCATTTTCTTCTCTCTGGAGTTCGACAGGTGGATAAATACACTAACCTTGGCCCAGCCTTCAGTTTTGTGTGAGTTCTCTTTGAGGTGGATGCAGTACTTGGTTTGATCCCATTGGGAGGCTTATTAAAGATATTTCTAGAGGCGCAAAGCTGTGGTCAAGAGGTAGAATCAGGGAAGCTCCTAAACCCTCTTGTCGCCTCCTGTATCATCTGTTTAGCAGAACTAAAATATAACACATGTCTTGTTTCTGCACTGCAGGGCAGCCTCTGCCCCTCCCTCCTGTGGTCACAGGCAAAGCATCATATGGCACAGTCCAGCTGCCACAGTATCTCTCTCTTTGGGAAGCGCTGCCCTATATTGTAGAGGTAGGTACCGGCGTTAGAAATGGAGTGTGTGCTAAGAGGATGATGCAAAGAAACCCACTGCACTATGAAAGAATATAATCCTATTCTGAAGGACCTCAAGGTGCTTCACAAGCTTTGTATATAGAGACACAGTGAAAGGCAGCCACCTCTGGGGTGGAGGAAGTCAAATCATTTGTGTACCATGTGACGCACAGGATGGGGAGGAAAATAGTATGTTCTGGCCAAGGATACTAGAGCCATTTCTCTCTGAAGTGCTACGTGATCTTTAATGTCACAGGGAGAGGACCGGTGTTTTAAGGTCTTATGAGAGAGACCTCAGCTCAGTATGCTATAAGGGACTCCTATTTATTTACCCAGAAGGAAAACGTTGGGCTGCCTGGATTTGGCATCTGGGATGCTTAGTATTGCAAATTGTCACCCCTCAATTACAAATACTCCACACTCATTGTAGGTCCTTCCATCTGGGAACTTGAGAGCTTTGCAAAACTCTCTGCTGTCCTTAGTCCCTTGGAGTGTAAAATGGAGATAATGATATTTTCCTGTTCACAGGATGGGTCAATAATTTAACACAAGGTCACAGAGTAAGAGAGACGGGAATAGCATACAGGAGTCCTGATCCCTGCCCCTAGCAATTACACCCAAACTACCTCCTGTGTTAGGAAAGCAGAGATCAGTTACTCTAATTGTTCAGGCAGGCCCAAACAAGAAGTAATGAGTCTGAGTCTAAGTCGCAGCATGGAAGAAGCTTTCAGAACCTTAGGCAGTGGGGCAGGTTGTCGAGGGAAGCCATGAAGTAGCCATAATTGAACAGCTATATCTGATGAAGACTTAGACATCCACCCAGAGGGATGGTGCTCACAGGGTTTAAATTCCTCACTTATTTGAAAGTGTTTTGTACCCCAGGAGCCCTTGAAGAGACAGCTTTTGCTGAGGATTTGTGTAGATGTTTGTTTGTGGGACACAGTAGCTACTGGGCTGAATGACGCTGCCTATGTGCAGCCTGTCTCCTTAGAAAGGATTCTTCTAGTTACTTTTTCTTCCTTCGCAGCCCATTAGGTCAGAGTTCCCAGTTAACATGGAGAACCTGCCAGTGAATGATGGCAATGGGCAGGCCTATGGGTACACTCTCTACGAAACGGTCATAACTGGCGGAGGACAGCTGCATTCCAGGGACCACATCCGGGATCGAGCACAGGTAAAGAATACGGAGCCATTGTAATTCTAGCGCTACAGAAAGTCAAATAGCTTGGCTGTGGTTGTTGGCATGAAATAGGCCAGCTGCAAACCAAGGTGCTGGGAAAAGCAACAAGGAGTCCAGTGACACCTTAAAGACTAACAAATGTATTAGGACATAAGCTTTTGTGAGAGCCAACTCACTTCCTCAGATGCTTGAAGCGAAAGAAAGGCAGGGATACAGTGATGGGAGAGTAACCAGTGCTAATTAAATCAGGGTGGATGTGGCTCATCTCCAACAGAAATGAGAAGTCACATCATCCTCTCCTCTCCCCTCCCCCCCCCGATTTAATTAGTACTGATAATATTCTCCCATTTCCTTCTCCTGCCTCTTTTCACTTCAAGCACAAGCACCTGAGGAAGTAAGTGTATCTCGTGAAAGCTTATGCCCTAACAGATCAGTTAGTCTTTAAGGTGCCTCCAGACTCCTTGATTTTTGCTGAAACAGACTAACGACTGCCCCTCTGAAATCTGTCAAGGTGATAGGCTTTCCCTGAGCGGAATTATGATTCCCTTGTGCTATTCATTGCCAAAGCCCAGCTTACATCCCCTCTCAATCCCAGGCTCAAGGTTCAAGTCTTTTTAAACTCCTGTAACATCAGCTCAAATGTATCCTCCAATGGTAATGGTAGGAAATCACTGCGTTTTTAGAAATGCCTTGATTTGCCCGACACTGGGGAATGAGTCAGTGGCAGAGCTGGGAATAACACCTGAGAGTCCTGGTTCCCGTTGGACAATGCTTCCCCTCTCCCTGATATGGCCCTGATCCATTGTCTAGTTCACCTGTATTCTGAAAGAACTGTCTGCTGTTGCTTCTCCTGCAGGTGTTTGTGAACACTCTGTTCATTGGATACCTTGATTACAACACCGTGGAGCTGTCTGTTCCTGAAGGACAGGCGAGTACTGTGAGACCACTCAGAAGAGTAATAAAATGTGGGTAATAAAATCGCAGCTCAAACCACCACCATAAATGCAGAGCCCAGAAGTGTGTTTGCTGCCAGCTCCATTCAAAGCAGTGATGCAGCAGCATGAGACACAGAGCGGCTGTTGTGCTCAAATCAGAAATGACTCCACAGTTGGAGTAGAGAATGGCTTAAAATGCCAAGCTATCCTTTTGAGATGGGGAAATATTTTGACAAAACTCCACTCAGCAGGTTCACTCCAGAGCAACAGCTGATGCGCTAAATTTAATCTCTTTCCTGCCACACCCACAAACTGCAGACAAGGCATCAGATGGAACTGTGGGCCATAGAGGATCCTGCCTGTGCTGACTGAGGACCTGTAGGCTGTTTGCTTGGAGGCACAAAACATGCTTCAGTCTTTTTACTTCTCTTAGGTCACAAGTGAAATGAGTTGGATGATCTCACTTGTGTTCTGAGCTCATGCTCGCCAGCATCACAGAACCAGCCAACAGTTTGGTACAGAGTGGCTGTGTGAGTAGCATGGCAACTAGATGTGTATTGGCAGAGCTGTGCATGGCATTGAGGACTAGCATTGGGTGAGTGGGAGGGAATATTGGAGGTCAGGATCATGATTCGTGGGTAGAACTGTGCATTCAAAGCCTATGTGGTGTCAGACACACGCTGTTCCTGGCCCTACATACCATTTCAACCATGTAAAATGTAGCAGCAAAATATTACAGTTTCACGAGAAGGTTGAGTGTTCCTCAGTGATTTGGTTGCTTGCAGCTGTGGCATGTCCGTACTCCTGAAATGTGTAGTCCTGTTAACAGCTACCAAAGCTACTGGTACAAGCTCCCCACTCCTGCCTCCGGAGTGAGCCCAGCTGATGTTTCTCATTGCCCAGCCTGATACTTGGCTATGCACTGATTCAGCAGAGGCTGCTCCATTCTTTACAGGGCTTCAGGAAGCTCAGGTTATTGGTAGAGAACTGCGGGCGTGTCAATTATGGACTTATGCTGAATGAGCAGCGGAAAGGTAGGTTACCTTGTCTCTTTCCTTCCAAGATGGTGCATGGGGCTGAGAACTCAGATAAAGGTCTTGTTTTGAGTCTTTCTTTAGCGAGGACTTCAAACACTGAGGACGTTTTAAAAAATGACTCCTGCCCCTCAGAAGCAAACAGCCCCGATCGAACGCTAAAATCCTGGGCATTGGACTGAGTGGTATGAAGAAGGCATGAAAGAATTTCATTGTGCCTGGCAGATGCTATGCGGCTTGACAGTCAGGCTGTAAAAGGCAGACAGTGTGGGTTTGGGAGAGATTGATAAAAGGATGTAGTTCACCTCTTGACCACAAGATCAAACCTATCCAGGCTGGTGGTGAAATGTGACAGTTGGTGAAAATATCTCATGTCATGGGGGATGGACATACCTTAAAAACCGTGACAAAGCCTGCCATTCCTATAGTAGTTGTCAATAGTCAGTGGTCCATATGAAGGTGGGGTGTCCCTCCTCTCTGTCCAAGTTCAATTGTGTGACGACATACGTGGGGGAAAGGAATTCTTTCTGATCCCTGTTTCAGCTCTGAGATTTGGTGCGCAAGATAATCTCCAGTGCCCTGCTCAGTGGAATGCATTAAAATGTTTATGCCAGTAGAGATATGGACTGGGAGCTCTCCTGGGTTGTGTTTTATAAGAGGCCAAAACATTGGGAGCAGGCTAGTGAATTTAGACATACACGTCCTTCTCTTTAATTGTTTCAGAGGGGTAGCCGAGTTAGTCTGTATCAGGAAAAACTTTAAAAATAACACATAGTTTGTTTTGTTAGTTTTTAAAGTGGTATTAGACTATTTCTTCTCTTTAGTGGAAGAGGTGTGCCTTAATCCCCTGGACTGCTTTGATACTCTCAGCCATGATCTTGTAGTTACTGGTCTGGATGTGAAGCCAGGAGAGAGGAGTTCTGTTCCCAGCTCTGCCCTAACCCTTCTGTGTGACCTTTATACCGTGCCAGTTTCCCCCACCTGCAAATGAGGATAATTTCAGCTACCTCACAGTAAGGGGGATGAGGCTGAATTTGTTTGTGAGGTGCTTTGTGATCCTTGGATGAAAGGCACTGGATCAGTACAAGGCATTAGTGATACCAGGATATTGCATTTTCTTTGGAGACTTGGGGAAGTAACTGCTGCTTTAAAAAAATCCATCTATGGGCAGCCAAATAAAAACTCAATCTGCTGTGTGTGCCAGCAGGGCTTTCTGCTAGGAGGGGGTTTCCAGCTCAGTGAGTAAAAACAGAGGAGCGAGAGGAGAGGGCAAAGTGTAACAACATTCCCTGCTCAATCTGGATGAGCAATAGGACCATATGCGCTCTAACGCCATTGCAGAACATGACTACTTTCCGTATCCCGCTGTTCCTTCTATTGAACTAGGAAGATCCATCAGCTTAGTTGCTTCTCAGCTTTTTATTACTTTCATTGCTCTTGTAGGCTTAATTGGTGACGTCTTCCTGAATAATACTCCCTTGAGGAACTTCAAGATTTACAGTCTGGAGATGAAACCTGGCTTCATAGAAAGGTTTGTGAGAGAGATGTACATAGTTAAATTATTTGCGTGGATGAGGAGGACATAGATATCTTCTTCCTTTGCACAGACAATTTGGCAGAGGTGCTAAATCTAGTTAGCACTTACATGGCCCGGAAAGACAGCACCGGGTGAATCTGTGCTGACAAATCTCTTCCTGATAAAGCCAACTAAAACTGTATGAAAGGTTACAACACTTATTATTGCACCTTTATTTAAGACCCAATACAACCCCCAAAACAACCTAATACAACCCCAGTACAATGAAGGGGATGGAAAGATGGGAGTCTGACCTTAAAATGTGTTGCATCAGGCCTGTACAGATGTGGCCTTCTTGAATTTTGAGAAAGCTTAAGTCTCTGTCTGGATCAGAAATGTGGGGTTGCTAAATGGTTCAGCGAAGGACACTCCCTCCTCTGGGAGTAATTTCAGGAAGCTCCTACCTGTATTACTCGTCCAGATGGCTTCCTCTGATTTCATATTTTTAAATTGTGTTCATCAGTATTAAATGCAAAAGCTAAATAATAACTAAAGGGTATCTGGTCAGGCTGCTCTCATTTGAGCAACAGAGCATAGGTCACCACCTGGACTCCTGCCAAAAATCTAAAGAGGGTTTTTTGTTGTTTCCAGAGCTAGCATCACCAAATACTGTTAACACATTTGTGAGGTCCTAAGGCTTTCACAGCTGTCATTCTGCTGTATGCTGCAGCCACTTGGAATTTAATAGAACAGAAGGCATAGAACTCCAGAGCTTTTGCAGCAAAGCATCAAATCCCTAATGCTTGAGGCAAAAGAGAGATTCTCTGTGAGTTGTGACACTGTAGGGCTTGTGACACACACAGTTGTGTTCTTATTCTGCCCAGTAGATGTTAGCCATATGTAGACTCTTAATAGTCAATGTATTATAGCAATCAATCCTCTTAAACCATATACTGTCTGCAGTTTCTTGCTTGTATTTCAAATTAAACCACATCTTTAATCTATTTTTTAAGGTAGAAGGTTTTTTTGTGTATCCAATGCTGACCTGAAATAAATTTTGATGGACAAATTGTAAACCCCTTTGGGGGAAAAAAGTGTTTTTTAAGGACAGTCCTACCACACAGTGTTAAATGTTCTAAGTGAAGATTTTTCAAGGGATTCTCTTTGACAGGGTGAGTTGTGTCCATTTTGTGCTGTCAGGTCATTAGAGAAGGATATTCCCAAACAAAGGCATGAAAGTAAGTGAGCTGCCAGGCAGGCATAAAAGCAAGATTGCTAGCAACTGACCATTAGCAATGAAACATAATAAGGTAGAAATCTCTGAATAGGAAGCCAAAATACACAGCATTGAAAATGGGATTGTCCCAGGCTTAGTTCAGCAATGCAGTGGAATTCATATTGTACTAGGTCAATACTTCACTTGAATCAGGGGTTGCTAACAATCGGGATTGGAGAGAGAGCACATGTTTTGATAAGGTTTTGAGTCTCTTGTGGGACTTCCAAGCTCCTCACTTTCACTCTGCTTCATCACCTCCCACAGCCACACCCGTGGTAGCAGAAGGTAAGAAATGATGCAAACTATGAGCATAAAGAATAACTTGATAATGCCCCCCTAATGTGATCAAGGCTTCCCTTCCAAAATAGACCTGACGCATCTGTAAGTAGGTCAGACAGTGATTTCTGATCCCTTGAGTTAAACAGCACTGGTTTTTGTTACTACTTGGATGGAAGATATCCGTGAAAACCCTAATGCCAAGGGAAGAGAGGTGTTGGATTCAGTAGGTGGTATTCACTAACGCCTGATCCAATGTCCTAGCATAGTTTAGGGGGCACTGGGCCTGTGGAGGAGATGTTTTGGCTGAGTCTTTAAAACTGAGCCACAATCTACTTTAGGACAATAAAGATCCTGCAAGACTTCTCACAAGAGCAGAGCATTCATGGGAGAGTCCTGGTCAAAGTTCCCCCAAGTAATTATGTTTGGTCACTCCTGGATTCTGCAATACATCTAGGGGGCGCTTTTAAGGTATTTCTAGACCAGTGGTCTCCAACCTTTTTACACCCAAGATCACTTTTTAAATCTCAGAACAGGCGAAGATCTACTGCCCCGCCCCTTCCTTGAAGCCCCGCCTACATTACATGAGGAAATCTAATGTAAATGTACTGCGCAGGTGCGCAGTTCAGAGAGGGCTCAAGAGCTACTCTTAGAGCCCCTGAGATCTACCGGTTGGTGACCACGGTTCTAGACCATTCATCACTGTAGCATCTAAGGGTACGTCCACACTAGTGTTATTTCAAAATAACTTGGTCCGCATTTACAAAACAGGCAGTTATTTTGAAATAATGTCAAGTTGGAGAACTTCTTCCTGCAACTCCTGTACCCCTCATTGTAGGAGGAGTAAGGGAAGTTGGAGGAAGAGTGTTCGATTTCAAAACAAGTGCTGTGTAGACGCTCCCAGTTTCTAAATAAGCTATTTTGAAAGAAGCTAGGCAATTGATGTAGCTTATTTCGAGTTAAGCTCTGCTGTGTAGACATAGCCCTACATGCTACATAGAGTTGCTAGGTTTCCATAGCTTCAGGGGGTAGCCGAGTTAGTCTGTTAACTCCGGTCATCTGAAGAAGTGGGCTGTGCCCACGAAAGCTCATGATACCATTACATGTTTTGTTAGTCTATAAAGTGCTACCAGACCATTTGTTGTCGGTTTCCATAGTATTTTTCACAGAGGGTGTCATGGTGGAATTTTCATGCCACCTCTTTTAAGGCCTAGAAACCTTGACTTGCCTTTTGGGTATGAGTAGTAGATCCTTGGGGGTGGTGATGGCAGGAAGGCTGCAGCAAATAGGTTTGTAGTGTGCTTTCAAGGCAAATTACTTTGGTTAAGAAAAATGGAGGGAAGGACCTTATGTGCTGCATATTGTTACACTTGCTGTATTTCTCCCCAGAGATGGCTGCATTATGCTGATAAGTGGGTTTTTAAACAACTGGTCAAGCAAGTTAGAATTGCTGAGTTGAACCGTGTTGTATACATATAAAATATTGCAGCCTTAAATCTAAGATGAATTGCAGCCATTTTAGTTAAAGTTGCGTAGCTGTCTGCATGCTCGCTCCCTGTTTTTAGTGGCTCATAAGTGGCTTCTTTTCTGAAACTGTTGGTTTGGCAGAATTTTCTCAATGTTTGAAAATAATCAAGGTAAGCTAAAGCTGGAAGAGGAACTGAAATTGTTCAGCAGTTTTTTGTATATGTACTGTTAAAAAAAACTTGAATACTAGAGAACTTTTAAACAACTCTATAGTGCAAATAATAGGGTCCAAAAGGTGAAATGTAGCCTGTACGTATCTCTGAAGGTGGCAGTGCTCTGTTTTGTTTTGTGTTTGATTTCACTGAGTTATGAGCCTTTGAAAACTGTGCAGTAGTGTATGTGGGCGGTGGATTTTGCTTTGTGGTGTTATAAAACCAAAACTTGTAACATGTACCTGGGGCGATTATGTGGCTTATCTAACATGCTGAAGTGCTTTGCTGAACTGGAGCCGTAGTTCCATCAAGAGAAGTCTAGATAAACGTACTAGGGGTGTAAAATCCCATTTAAAATGTTAACCGGATAAACTATATGCCTAACTGGCTGACCGTGTCACTCCAGCTCGGCCAGGCACCAGTTAACTGGTTACTGCTAACCATTACCCGGTAAGGTTATCCATTTACATCCCTAAAACACACTGGAAGGTTTTCCCAGAATGGGAAGGGATTGAGGAGGGGCTCCTGCAGGCTCTGTAACCTGGGTGGGGGGGCCAGAGTTTCCATAGGAGACTTTCTCGGTGCGCAAAGTCCGGATTCTGCTGGAGACATCAAAGTCAGTCTTGTGGTGCCTGTGCACAAGAGAGCAGAGCGAAGGCTGATGTGAGCTCTTGTCTGTGTTAGGGATGTAAGCGAGTAGTGCTGCGACTAGTCACTTCCCCCCCTTGCTGCCTCTCAGAGAGAGGCAGCAAGTGGGGGGAGCAGGAGCCAATGCTGGGGACAGCTGGGTTAAAAGCACTAGCACTGTCTCCCTAGCACTGTCTCTGCGGGGAGGTAGAGGCACAGCAGGAAACGACGCCAGTGGGGACTGAAGCAGTCTCTGCTTGTGATGCTTCTGCTGCAATTCTGCTTTTGAAATGGACAAGAGCCCCAGCAGGGTTCTTGTACATTTCAAAGGCTCAAGGGCCGCAGAGAGCATATGGGGTCCCTGCTGGCCCTATGTTCCCTGACAGGGCTCTTGCTACAGTTCAAAGGCGGAGGTGCCTGTATAGACTAATCAGACAGTCAATAGAAATCCCATTGACTGTTCAGTTAGTTTATCTTAATTGAATGTCCCTAGTCTGTGCACTGGTTTTGTACTGGTAAATAATTTTGATGAAGGGTATGAATCTTTTACCAGTAGTTATACTGTACAGCCCCAGGTGTGGAGTTGCACCAGTAAAAAGGTGCTTTCTGTACTGGCATATCTTATTCCCCTTGTTTTAGAGGAAGGGAAATAAGCTATAGTGCTAGAAATCGCCTTTGACTGCATCTGCACTAGGGACTTTGCGTCCTGGTGCAATAAAAGCAGTACTTTGTGGGTTTAGGCAAGCCTCAGGTGCAGTGTGAGGTTGCACATTCCAGGCATTTTCCCTTTTTTTAACCGGTGAAGTCTGAACAGTTTTTCCCAGGGAAGTGTTGATTAGATCACAGGGCCTCGTGTTTCCCTTCATATCACTAGCCTCTGGGCATGTTTAGAGTCTTTTTTCAAAACATTCGACAACATAGCAGAAATGGATCAAAGCCAACTTAAACTCCTAAGCTTCCCGCCTCTCGTGCCACTTACTTTGGGTCACTGTTCCCTCTCTAAGTTGAGCACTTGCAGCTATCCAGGATTGATTCAAATGCTGCCCAGCTGATTAGCAGAGTGCCCACAGCAGGCAGCATGTGTTTCTATTTGTGGTGCACATCAGCATGTGCCTCAGTGCATACAATAATATTTATTCTGCACATGCATGGAAAGCAATTAGAGGGAACGTTATTCGGTGTGCAGATATAAGCCTCTGAGCACACCCCAAAAGTGTCAAGCCAATGGAGGAAGAGAATTACCAGAGTCATGAACCCATCAGCTTAGTTTCAAAAGCGTGTGTTCTTAACTTGAGTTACCTGACTGTCATTAGCCAGGGGGTGAAAAGAGTATTGGAGACATGGCAACACTGCTTCGTAGGCAGGAGCAGTTCATCCTCAGCCCCAGGCTCTCCTCATGATTGTAACTCGAGCTGCTAACCCAGGTTAAAAGCTAAGTTGCTGTGCATTCGCTGCTATTTTATCCTGAGTTAAGAACAGGTGGGTGGGGTATTTTTGGGCAGCATAGATGTACATTAAGAATGCACTGTCCCAAACTATTTGCCTATGCAGAGTGCAAATCAGGGGCCTTGCCAGTATCCCATGTGTTGTCTCCTGCTACAAGGAAACCTTGGAAGTGTGATGGGCCCTTCAGGAATACCCGGGATAGATCTCTGTTACTTAAGATGAGCTCCTTGAATGCAGTAGGAGACCAGTGTGGTCCGAGATCAGCCTGAAGTAGGGATAGTCACTTCTGGCAAGGCAGAGAGAACAGTAGCAGCACATCGTCTCTTGCTGCGTTCAGAATAGAAACCTTCACCTTGCTTACAAAGAAAGGTGAAGGCCAAAGTCTCTTTTAGTAGGGGATTAAGTTGGAAGTAGGGAAGGTGATAGGCGGGTGCCTTCTTGAATGAACAGCCAAGTCCCCATGCTGGATATCTGTGCCTAAACCAGTGCCAGAGGGCAGCAATCGCTGCACCTTTCAGGCAGGGCGGTGAATAGGTACCTCACTGTAACAACTGGTGCCCTATGGAGGCCTCCTGTTTGAAGTGAGAGTCCAGCCTAGATCCATGAATGGTGCCTGTCAGGAAGTTGCTTTCCTTCTGTTAACTGTGTTTGTCTTTCCCTCACAGCTTGCGAGGTTTTACTGCCTGGAGCACTGTCCCGGATTATGCCATGGGTCCTGCATTCTTAAGGGGAAACCTGCAAGTGCAGTATCTACCTCGGGACACTTTCCTGAAACTCGAGGTGCGTCTCTTAGTTACCATCTGCTTCTTTTCATATGGCTGGAAAGAGACCCTGGCGTAACCGCTCCAACAGACACCACCCTGTCTGAGGGCAGGCTCAGGCACCACATAGCAGTCTTCATGGATCTGTGGTAAAGAAGGCCACCCGTGAAGGCTGCATGTTCAGATAAACGTGGCTTCCATCGTCGCAGGCCATGCTGAGACTAATGCAGGAAGTTCTGGCCTGCCCATCTACCAGCATCCAGACCAAGCTACTCATGACACCCGCTTCACATACATTAGGTGCTATTCCTTTTCTGATGGCGAAGAGTTAGCAGCCATGAGTGCAAAACTGTGAGTGCCTGAGTCTAGTGAGATACGGGGCAGTCGCATCCCTTGTCTGTGCTATCTGTCAAGGGGGGCAGTGCTATGGAACCTTCGCCAACACCTGGGGTTTGAGGGTGACGCTGTCTGTGGACAGCACTGAAGATGAAGTGCTATGTGTATTGTACAAATCTTGAACGTTTTCCTCTTCTGTTTCATTTGAGTCCCTGCCAGTGCAATCTTTGTGATTCCACTGAACTAGTGTTCATGTCTCAGTGCAGTTTGTAAGACAAAGCGTATGGATAATATAGCACAATGATTAACGTGTGTGGCTTGCAAAGAATGCAGGCAATGGTAGGGGAAGATCTCCTAGCACCACGGGGCCCCGATTCTTGGTGAAGACCTCTAGCTACTGCTGCAAACAAGTGTGGTGATTTTGTTCCGCCTTTGGCAGATCAGTTTTGGGAGAGGTACAGGGCACAGTCCTCCTCAGTTATGAAGAGATGTTAGTGGCAGGGCTGGAGTGGAATATGGTGGTTTTAACAATCTGTCTGAATAACTCTTTCTAAGACAGTGTTTCTTAAACTGTGTTCTCTGCGCACCGGTGTGCCGCAGAGAACAGAGTTCAAAATGGCTGCATTTAAAGGGGCAGGTGACCTTTATTTTTGCTCAATAACTTCCCCCCAACCTTTTTTCCCCCCTCGACAAAAAATCCTTGGTGTTCGTCAGTCTTAAAAAGTTTAAGAAACACTGTTCTAAGAGCTAAAGAGTGGTGGCGAAAGCAGGAGGCCGGGAAGAACGCGAGAGTCTCGGTGGGCTAGTCCTGTGAGCTATGGAGTGCAGGCTCCTCAGTAACTCTGCCGTGTTGTCATTGTAGGGCTGGGAAAAAGGAGTTGTGTTTGTCAATGGAAAGAACTTGGGACGCTACTGGAAAATCGGACCTCAGGAAACGCTCTACCTCCCGGCAACTTGGCTGAAGCCTGGAAACAATGAGGTGAGAGAGCAGGCGAACTGACAGTCTCTGCAGACCCTGGGCAAGGTGTAGGGCAGGGCTGGCTCTGTGCTCCCAGAAGTAAGGGGCAGGCCCATGGGCATCCAGCCCTCGGTGCTGCCCAAAGCACACCATGCTGGGCCCCGAGCATCCCCCGCCCGCCCTTCGCAATTTTAAGGGCCTGGGGCTCCTGGCATCACTGCTGCTGAAGTAGTGGTGGCAGCTGGGAGCCCCGGATCCTTTTGGAACCCCGGGTCCCAGGGCAATTGCTCCCTTTATCCTCTCCCACCCCCCACTGCCAGGCTTGGGTGAGAGGCTGCCTCTTCAAGATGCTTTTTGGACTCAGGTCTGTCTAGGAACAGCTAGGAATGATCAGCGCCTGAAAACTGCCATTCATCTGCCGATGCAAAATGGGGGGTGGCCCTTTCTGTGCTGGAGCAGCACTGTTCCTTGGCTGGCAGTGCAAGAAAGCAGATGTGGTGAGCACTGACTTTGGATCAGTCTTGCACATAGAATTTGAAGGGCAGCACAACTCAACAGTCAAAGGCACCTGTCTGGGGAGCTGCTTACGCTTTTCACTGCTGTGGAGTCTTAGACTGATCCCTTGACATCGGGGCTATACCGAGTAGAACATATGGATTCCGTGTTTGGGTACACTCTGGAACCAGTGGGCTGGTGTATTGGCCATATTCCCTTCCATGGGAACATCCTGCCATCATCCCCCCAAAACTCAGCCTTGATCTCCAAGATCCCAAAGTATTTCCCTGATGGAAAGAGCAGTGATTGTAGTTTTAAAGGCATTTCCCTTCCCCTCCCCTATCTCTTTATTCCGTAGATTATCGTTTTTGAAGAGCGCATCCCAGGCTGGATCATACAATCCCTAGATTTGCCTTATCTAGGAAGGACCCACTATATAGACTGAGCAGAAGAGCTGCCTCCTGTTATGGATAAATGCATGGGGACACATCAGTCCAAGTACAGCGTGGCTTGTTAATTCCCACTAGACCAGTGTAAAAGATCGGCTCTCTGGCAACAAGTTTAGGAGGTAGACATGGCTCACCCCGAGAAGTGAGTCCGTCATTTTGTCCCAGGACATCTAGCCCTCAACACGACAGCTGGCCTCCAGCTTTCAGTGGTAGCTGTGATGTAATGGACAACCTAGGGGCAAAGAGTAAAATAGGCTGTTGGGAGGGAGGGAACCATCTGAGTGGAGCCCAGGCCCCGGCCCAAGATGAATGCATCTCCTGTTTGACGAGAAGGGAGAGAATTTCTGTGAGACAGAAGAACGGGATGAAGAACATTCTGCTGTGCTTTCAGGCAGAATTGAAACCGTCTTTGTGTGGAGAAGGGGTTTGGTTTGTTCAGTTGTTGGAAGACATTTTGGATGTTAACAGTTTTTAATATTCTGAGGTTCTCTTTTTTTGTGGGGAAAACTCAAACCAGTTTTTAAAGTTACCTGTGTTTCTCCTTTGTCAGCCTCCACCCGTGCAGGACTGTCCTGTCAAACTAGGGTTCCAGTTCAGAGCAGGTTCAGAAGCGGGAATGGATAAGCAGCCCACTGCTTTAGATTCAACTTATTACTTAGCCACTTGCCCACCAGACACACTTTTTACTCCCAGCTGTAATACTTCATACTTAAGGGGCCCAAATCCCATCTCCTCACAGCTCCCCATTGACCTCAGGGGAAGCGTTCATGAGCAAAGCTAGCATTAGTTATCCTTGATAGGAGACCGTGTCCTCCTGTGTATGAACAGGACCCAGACTTCAACTGAGGGAGAGCTAGACCGGTTACCTGGGAGAACACAAATCAGCGCGCTCTGGTAGGTTCTAGCTATGCTTTTTTCAGGGCTTCTTTTTGAACTGATGTAAAACAAACAGGGATAAGGGAGCCTGGGAAAGAAGCACTGTGGTGATTATGTTCTAACTCCCCACCTCGGTAATCTCCAGCTGGGATCCCTGTTTGACAAATCAAATATTGCAGCTCTTTTCAATGCAATATTTCAAATATTGAAAAGAGCCATTGCTCTCTCTGAAAACCTGCTCACCTCCCTCCCCCCCCCACTTAATGTACAGGGAAGATGGTTTACATATCCTCAAACTCTCATGCTGTAGCCGTAAGTGTGCAATTGGCTGTGTCCAAGAGCAGGTCATGTCTCCTGCAACCAACATGCTCTCTGACCTGGAGCAGCTTTAAAAGAGGAGTCAGGTCAGTACTTGGGGGAGTAATTTTCCCCCATGTAGATAGAGGAGTCAGACCTACCCAGCTGGTAAAGGCAGTAACAATCAATTTCACAGGAATTTTAACATTTAAAAACCATATTTAATTTTATTTAACAAATTAAATACAGTTTAATTAAAACTGAGAACAGACAGTGCAGCTGTAATACACTCCATCCTCCATCCTAATCAGTGCCTATCTTGACTTCTGCTCTCCTGGACCCGGAGCCCATGATATCCACCATACCAACTGAAAAGGCTTAGTCTCCTGTAGCTGATCTTCTAAGGAGGGTGGAGTGTATTTGTATTTGCGGGGTTGTCTTTAGGACTTGACCCTTTGCATTTTACCAAGAGTTGTTCCCTACAGAGGATGGAAGGCTGCAATCCAGCAGGGTTGTTATAATAAACAAACAGACATGCGGCTAGGACATCAGTTGAAAACAACTTGAAGACTATCATGACAACTTTGTAACCCTTTTGAAAATACCTCATTGTTCCCCCTTTAAGATACACAGACTGAGTGCTGCACTCAGGAGGCTTGTATAATAATGGAATACAGCTGCTTTGATGCAGAGCACCACTGTTTAACATGAGCTAACAATGACTGTTCCCAAAATGCAAGTGGATACCAGTTGCATAAAATCATTGCTGTCCAGTTTGGATTTCAGCCACTGTGTATAAAGGAAGGTTTTCACAGAAGCTATGTAGCCAGGCTTCCATGAATGGAAACTACACAACCTTTTCAGCTACAGAAGGTAACTATCCCCCCAGTGACTGTTTTGATAAATACAGCAGGGAAAATAAAAATTCAAAATAATTTGTTTTTTAAATATTAGGAAATATAGATTTGTCACTATTAGTCCAATGAGCCTTTTCTGCCCACTGAAGCTAATACTCTGCAAGAAATATTCTATGTATTTTAATTTTATATGCTGTTATGGGTTAAAAAAATAAGTTGAGTCTCTTTACAGGATTACATTTTCCTTTAATTCACATGTAAAATTGTGCTTCAGACTTTTCCAAAAGAAGGGGGGATTGATTAGATTTTGAAGTCTGACCAAACCTAAGCAGCAGTCTAGGAAAACCATTTTTAAAAAAGGGGCTGGAAAGCGGGCGGACGGGAATTGATTAACTTCCTTTTGTGTGTCACCCCGTCAGTGTCTGAGTTTCAGACATAGAAGCATCACCTAAGATACTAGAGACTGCTGCTTCCCCTCCACTTTTGATGCATCTCTTTCTTGTGCAGAGCAGTCAAAAAAAACCATCCAAGTAACTTTCTCCTGGAGGAAGGAAGAAACCACATGCAGCACTAAGGTTTCAGGTATTTCAGGTTGTTTGGGTTAAGATTATTTTGTGCTGGTATTTTTTCAAATTATTATTTTTACTCCTCCCTTTGTGGAATCAGGTGTGGGAGCAACATCGAGATACTGTCGGGGAAGCTACAGAGCACCGGACAACCTTGCTGTGTGCTCTTCTAGAGAATGGCAAGTATCGGACTGCTCCACTGACTTGGTTGGTACCATGTCGTGACTCTGGTTTTCAGAAGTAATGTGGCCCTGAAATGGGGGGAGGCTGAAGGACATTAAAATCATTCCTAAATCGACTAAAGAAGGTGGGGAGTAATAGAAGGAGGCGGGGGTGCTTGTTGCTCAGCGATTCCGTCTTTCCAGTGAACATTGGAAGTTAGACCTAGGGTAGGGGATGGAGACTGCAGCATCGTTCAGTGACATGCTGAGTGGTTCCCTCCCGTATTGTTAAAAATAAAATGCGTCTTGAGGTAGGTGCGCACTTCAGGGAGCCCGACACCTAAAGCTTGTCTCAGCCAGGCTAGGCCTCAGCTGGAGGATTCAAACCCACCTTCCGTTACTTTAGCGTGGAGGATGAGTGTGGCCACAGATGCTGTAGACAAGTCAGTACAAGTACACAGAGGTATGTCAGATCCTCCAAGCCATGGGGCTGATGAAAGGGGGACAGGTTGGAAAGAGAGCAAAGATACTTGGTTAGCTGTTACCTGCCTTGCCTTTCACCCTTGTGCAGTGTAATAAATACTGAGTAAGTAGGTTCAAAATTAAGGGCAAAGGTGCTGACTCTGAGTGCAGATGTATCCTGCACAACCAGAGCACTGCTGCACACAGACACAAGGTATGTGCGTCTCCAGCAAGGTGTCATGCTCCTCCTGATGCATCTCACCCTTGCTGTGACACCCTGTGAAGCCAGCCCCGGGGTCTGGAAGACAGCTCCAGGTAGGCCTCCTCTCGAGTGCATTGTGCCCTGCACACGCTCCTTCCAGTCCAAGCATCCCGCAGGCTTTGCCCCTTGTATTGAGGGCGAGGTCAGTGCTGCGGTTTCTGTGCTTTTTCTCTGTCTCCAGAGGGCCCGGTTCAGAGTCCAGGAGGAAGGTCGGGAGAGTCTGAGCAGTGCAGGTTTGGTTTGTTGTTCTAACTTGCTTGTTTTTCATACGTTTAACACTTGAAAGTCAGGAGCAGTCCTTGCAGCTGCGTGTGTCTCTGGCTGGCTGCTGTCGAGAAGAGCCTCCAGGCTGAGAGCAAGCTCTTACAAGAGGGAATCTGCTGCAAAGCAAAAGCAACCAGTGGGTGTGTTACCCCTGTGCCTCATTGCTGCCCTTTCGAGCAAGCCTAGTGGTGTGATTGTTGGTGCGAGGCATCTAGGTGCTGGCAAAAGGGAGTATGTGACAGCCCAGGAAAGTGATGTCCTCTCTACAGAAAGCAGCTACGTATAACAACCGGGCAGCTTGCACCACCTTGCCCTGACACGGTGTCCCAGTGGAGTGTGCAGCCTCTGAAACACCCACAGTGAGGCTTAGTGGGAATCCACGTACGGTAGCAGGGTCCACATTATTAATTTGCCTTGTAAAGTTCCCCCTCATTGTAAAGTTCACTTCCAACCCTTTCCCTCTTTCAGGACTCTCCTCTCCAGGTTGTTCTAGTATCAGGTTCCTTTTCTTTTTTCACCATCCTGTCAGTTATTAACCAGACCATCATTCTCTTGAGATTTTTTTTCACCCTCATTTTCTAAAATACCACCCTTTTCTGGGCCTTACCTGTCCCCTTTAAATATCGCCCCATCCTTTATACCAGGAGCAGGCAATCATTTTTTATTGGGGGATGAGAGGGCACTCCAAGAATTTGGTAAGTGGTCAGGGGCTGCACTCTTCCATGATATTGAGAGGGGAGTTTCAAGGTCTGGGGTGGAGGTTGGATGCAGAAGGGAGCACTAGGTAGGGGACTGGAGTACAGGAGGGAATGGGGGGTCTGGCAGAGCATTGAGACTTGGGGCAAGGGATTGGAGTGCAGCATTCTGGGAGGGGATAGAGGCACAGAAGATTTTGACCTTGAAGAGCAGGAGAGGAGGGGGTGAAGGGTCTGGAAGAGAATTGTGACCTGGGGCGGGGGACTGAAGTGCAGAGTCTGAGAGGGTCTGGGTGCAGAACTAGGGGTGCCAGTGCACTTACCTTGGTGGCTCCCAGCCAGCAGCCCAGCAGGTCTCTCACCCAGGCTCCCTGCCTGCTCCACCCCCACATGGCACTCAGAGTGGCCAGCAGCGGAGGCCGTGTGTGGCTCTTAGCACTGTGAGCCAGGGGGGATATTTCACACACTGCCTGCCCTCCAAACAATTCCTGGCCAATGGCAGCTGCAAGAAGCAGAGAGCCTGCTGGGGGGTCCTGCTGGGCCTGTGTCCCTGCTTTATACACACACATTCTCCTCTCTCGCAACAAGTTTAGGAGGTAGACATGGCTCACCCCGAGAAGTGAGTCCGTCATTTTGTCCCAGGACATCTAGCCCTCAACACGACAGCTGGCCTCCAGCTTTCAGTGGTAGCTGTGATGTAATGGACAACCTAGGGGCAAAGAGTAAAATAGGCTGTTGGGAGGGAGGGAACCATCTGAGTGGAGCCCAGGCCCCGGCCCAAGATGAATGCATCTCCTGTTTGACGAGAAGGGAGAGAATTTCTGTGAGACAGAAGAACGGGATGAAGAACATTCTGCTGTGCTTTCAGGCAGAATTGAAACCGTCTTTGTGTGGAGAAGGGGTTTGGTTTGTTCAGTTGTTGGAAGACATTTTGGATGTTAACAGTTTTTAATATTCTGAGGTTCTCTTTTTTTGTGGGGAAAACTCAAACCAGTTTTTAAAGTTACCTGTGTTTCTCCTTTGTCAGCCTCCACCCGTGCAGGACTGTCCTGTCAAACTAGGGTTCCAGTTCAGAGCAGGTTCAGAAGC